AGATAACCACCAGGTCACACCAGGAATGTAGGATGCAGTGTCATGGGTGTGGTGGCAGCATGTGAGGAGGGACCTGGAGAGAGTGTGCCAGGAGCGCGGCGTGCTCCCCGCAGACTTTGTACGGCAGACCTTGCTGGACCAGGCCGGCACTGACATCCTCAGCAAGGTTGGGTAGGTGCTCCAGGACATGTCCGTCTCTGTCCTGTGACTGATGGTGCGTGGTGGCAGGGAGGTGAACCTGTCCATGGCAGCCTACGTGTCCGACCGGATCCTGGACGAGGTGATTGAGTCCCTGTCACGAACCCACAAGGACCTGGTAGGTTCTTTCTTCTCTCCACTCAACATCAGGGTATCAATGAGCCTGTAGAGCTTGAAATGGTGTTTGGGCTGGGGATGAGTAGAGCTCATCAAATGATGAGCCAATACAGTCAATGATGTAATTTGGGGTTGCAGGTTGACACTTAGTACATAGTGGGAAAACCTTGTAACCATTCTGGAAAGTCATTGTGCGTAATTGACCAGACTTAAGTCTGGAAATTAAAGACTGTTGTTCTCTTGGGAGGACAGAATTGGTGCTTGTCCCTCCTGCTGTATACCAGTCTTGTGCAGCTGTAGATTTCCATTCTTGCTGGCATTGGGTCTTGATGGTACAGAGGAATTCTCTTTCGTCAAGTAGGGTGGTAGATTTCCTGGCCTCAGGATGGCCAGGATTTTACCAGAAAGTCTTCCAATTTATTTCCAGGAATTCCAACATGATCTGGAAGCCATTGTCATGTGACAGAGGCTGGGAGCCACCAGGTTTACATTTATTGCAATGTTCTGGAGGTGCTATGACATAGATGTGGTACAGTTACACGGGGGGTCGGTGGAAGGCTGGTTAAACCGTTTGGTTTACGACCACTACGACCCGGGTTCGATCCCCGCATTGGACACTTTTTTCTGTTTAAAGAAAAAAAATATGTGCAAATGGCCCCCCCGATTCTTGCAAAGGTCCAACCCCACCAGCGAGTGCAAGTAACCAAACGGGGCTCTGGCACATTTGTAAGTGCAAAGTCGAACTGCTTTCACATGTGTAGACATGTGGTGCGCTTACAGTAAAAAAAGCAGTCGCTAACTACCCACCATGATTATCATGGCCTGTACCACGTGTACTAGGGATAAGCAAAAAAAAAAACAACAAAAAAAAACAGTTATTGCAATAAGCAGGTGCTATAGCATTGCCTGTGGTTACAGCTGGACAGACTGAGCCAACAAAGGAGCACCACCCCCGATGTCCTCCGCTCCAGGGCCCCCGGGGAGATGATCCACCACAGCGGGGACTCCTCCCAGCTGGATTCCCTCAGTGCCAGCTCGGACTCTCCACTGGTAACTATCAACTCTTCACTGCCGCTCTCATCTTGCTAGTGGCTCGGCCCCTCTCTGTGGTGGTGGTAATGGCACTGCAGCCAGTGTTCTTGTTGGTTTTATTGGTAAAATTTTTAAAAAAGACATATCCTGATGCCTAGAACTAAAAGTTGCTGATGGCTTGTGCAATCAGTTGGAATAAAAATGACCAATTTTTAGTTGCACGATCAGAAGATGCCTTTTTTTTTCCCCTCTTAATTTATCCACCTTATATCAGTACAATTTCACATTTGTACTGATTTTTACATTAATTTTTTAGAAGGGTCGTTTAAATCCCGAAAGTTTGTAAACTCGTTAATTGTGTAAATAAAGAAACTTATCCTTGGAGACACAAGGTAATAAGACCAAATCCAAATAAATAAATAGTATGTGACGTTTCAGTAACAACGTTGTTACCATCTTCAGACAAAAGTACTGAATGTGTACTTTCATTCTTTCACTTTCATTCAGTACTTTTGTCTGAAGATGGTAACAACTCTGTTACCGAAACATCACACACTATTTATTTATTTGGATTTGGTTTTATTACCTTGTGTTTATAATCTATAATCCAAATTGTACCTTATCATTATCCTTGGAGATTTATATTTAATTAATATAAATTTTCTAGAAACAAAGTTTTATTTGAAAATGATCTCAGTTCACACAGCATGGAATTGGTCAAACACAATACGTACCCACCCAGTGACTGGCTGAGACCACTGGCAAGATGAGGGGTGGACTCTGCCCCTACAGATGTTCATATTATGTCTGCTTGTAAATGCTGGCAGCAATTGGCTTGGCTCAATTTGGTGAGTAGTGCATGGTTTCCTGGAATTCCTCTATGTTGTGTACCATCTACTTTATTGCTGTGTACACCTCTCCCTTCAAAATCACAGAACCAGCATTTTTTATATCTTCTGTCCTAATACATAGCATGCCATTTGTTAATGAAATTTTAAATTATTTGTGTTAAATTTTGTTTTCCAAGTAAAATAATTTCTGTGTGTGTGCGCTTGTCCTTTCTGCAATGAACAAATACGAGGAGGGCCTGGCTCATCAGTGGGGAACCCTCCTACAGATTTATTTTACCTTCATTGAAAATTGAAACATAAAAAATATATATAATTCACAATTTAAAATCTATTTCTATAGCCCTTATCCTACAATGATTAAAAATTGAAAGAGGGAGGGCATGACTCATCAGTGGTGAAGCTTTTAAATTGGTGAAACTGCTGGGAGGGTTCACCATTGATGAGCCATTCCCTCCCTCTTTCAATACCATTTGGCGAACTTTTGGCGAAATGGTGTTTTATTAATTTATCATTTGATATTATTAGGGTTCTTTCCTGGTATTCAAAAAGGAAAAATACGTGTCGTTCAGTTATATTTTTCAATTTATCAAACAATTTGGCCGCTGAATCGCTGATTATGGTAGAGTGCCATCTCTAGCAAATAAAGTTGTAACTAAAATCTAAAAAAAAAAAAAGTACACGCTTGTTCGGCGGTACATATACTAAAATTGGAGCGATACAGAGAAGATTAGCATGGCCCCTGCGCAAGGATGACACGCAAAATCGTGAAGCGTTCCCTCTTTCAATTTTTAATCATTTCAAGATAAGGGCGGTAGAAATAGGCTTTAAAGGTCACTGTAATAAATTTCAGAGTTATTGTCCCGATGGGTACCACTTGTGTCACGATGAGTGTGTTAGAAACTGGTGTCTGTGCCAGGCCACGCCCAAGCTCCAAGTCAAGAGGAAAAGTATCCATATTAGGAAGCTCCGCCCCCATTCTGTTGTAGGTGAGTTGTCCATGATTGTCTCATTGGTTGGTTGTAGTCCATGTTTGACCACATGGTGGTGCCACCAACTCTGGGCTGTAGAAAAGACATTGCTGTGTTGGCCATCCATGGTCAGGATGTGTTGTTGTTGTTTCTTATCCCCTTGTGTAAAGATTACACGAATTCCATGAGTTCATGCTCCTCAAGCTGTTTTATGATGAGCAGCGGCCTCTCCCAAAGGTCTTGTTTTAGTACATCTAATACAAGCCAAAATGTGTTCTGGAGCTGCAGGTATCAAGCTACATTTTGGACAAGTGACGTAGATTTGATACAGGATAAGTAGATACGGGATGTGATAGCCATGTAATGTGAAACAAAAAACTTTTGCTGATTAGGCTCTTTTGTTGTGGCTTCCATATTGTAGAATATTGTTCGGTGGAAGGCTGGTTAAACCGTTTGGTTTACGATCACTACGACCCGGGTTCGATCCCCGCATTGGACACTTTTTTCTGTTTAAAAAAAAAAAATGCTCCAATGGCCCCCCGATTCTTGCAAAAGTCCAACCCCACCAGCGAGTGCAAGTAACCAAACGGGGCTCTGGCACATTTGTAAGTGCAAAGTCGAACTGCTTTCACATGTGTAGACATGTGGTGCGCTTACAGTAAAAAGCAGTCGCTAACTACCCACCATGATTATCATGGCCTGTACCATGTGTACTAGGGATAAGCAAAAAAAAAAAGAATATTGTCATTTATAAAATATATAATTTCAAATTTTAATCATTGAACACACAGTGTAGAAATTGATTTTAAATGTTCATATTTAAAAAATAGTGTTTAAAATATATTTCTAATTCCCCTAATGTTGTTACTCATTTCTGAAGAAGACCCAGGTGTAGGAACCTTGCTAGTTCTGGGGAACAGTTGGTAGGTATACTGCTCCAACAGTATTTCATCAAGGCTTCCTGTGGAGATCATACCTGCCGTCATGTTGGGTAGATAATGTATATATAAAATGAAAGGATTTAAAAGCACAAATGTTTCTTTTATATATAATACAAACTTCTACTGTCCTTACTGCGATGAAAAAATATATTGGGAGGTCTTGGCTCATTAGTTGTATTGTATATAAAGGAAACATTCATGCTTTTAAATCCTTTCATTTTATATGTATAGATTATTGCTTTGTGTTAATAGATAATGTATGTTGGCTGTGGTAGAGCATTGTAGATATCACAGGCTACCAAATATAATATATTTGGTAACATCTCTGTTAGTGAAACGTCACACTCTATTTGGTGTTGTCACCTTGTGTTTGGAATGGCTGGATGAAGTTTAGCTGACATGAGCAGAAAGTTTGGATTGGATCAGTGAAGGGCGAACAAGCCAATCTTATCTCAACCCCACTTATCTCCAATCACCTGGCATTTCAATTCTGTTTTACCTGCGCCATGTCAGCTGGGGGTGAGTGGTACTGCCGTTGTTTAGCAAGATTCTGTGCACAGTAATTGCCTCGAAAAGTTTCCAATTGAACAATCTTTGGTCTCTTCCAATAATAACGGTCACTTTTGTACAGCATGACCTCTTCAGAAATCTAAAAGTAACAAGATCAATTCCAATTATAATATTATGTGCATAGTTTCGGTAACAGCGTTGTTACATCGCAATGTCATCCATAATTTATTAATTTGAATTTGGCACTTTGTACCTTTTGTTTTTCAGATTCACAATCCAAATTTTACCTTACAACATTACTGTATAAGACACAGTGTGACCCCCAATTTATTATTTTTTTATAAAACATTTCTCTACTCTGCAAACACAACAAAATTACAGACGCGTGATCGTCTAGTGGTTAGGACATTGCATTGTGGCTGCAAAAACCCAGGTTTGAATCGTGGTCACGGCACCTTTTTTTTTTTTTTTAACACACTATTTATTTATTTGGATTTGGTCTTATTACCTTGTGTGTATACTCTAATAGCGGATGTACCCGGCTTCGCCCAGGTTTTTCTTGAGGGAATGTTTGTAGTCTAGTAATAAGAAAATATACTACACCTAAAAACTATCAGAGAAAAGAGAAACCACGGAAGGTGAACAGAAAAATGCTTACAATGGATGTTATGTTTACGATATCAAGTTAAATAAAAACAAAGATAAAATTTGCATATGTTGATCACTATAAATTTGTATATTTGTTAGGCAAAATTAGAAACATGATAAAACAATTGGGTATTTAAAAACAAATGTAGAAATAAAAGTTGAAGTATAATAAACAATGTTAAAGATTAGTTTTAATTATTAATCAAGATTGTGTGTGAATATGTGAGAAAGATGTAATATCGTTGTTGTTTTCTTGGCCGACTGTTTTACATATGGTGTTATCTTAAAATTGCTTGTTTTGAATATTTTTTAGATTGAGATTATTAGCTAGTATATAAAAAAATTAACTCTGTTGAAATTTAATTTTGTATTTATATATAAATAAAATTAACTCTGTTGATTTTTTTTGTATTTAATCGATAACAGCGAAGTTACGCATGTTAATGTTAGGAAAAATATTTTGATGTTAAGCAAAACCTGCTCCATCTCGTTTTACATAAATGTTGAAAATTTGGTCGAAATTGATGCATTGTAACGAAAGTTTTTACTGGTGTCCACTTATGAAATTTCCATTTTATTATAATATATAATCCAAATTGTGCCTTATCACAACAAAATTACTTTATACTCCATTATAGTTGAAGTAAACGAAATAAATGCGCTACAAATTCTAAAATTAAAAATACAACCTTTCGCATTGAGTTTCTTTTATTGATGAAATTTTTATTAATGATAAAAGAAACTCAATGCGAAAGGTTGTATTTTTAATTTTATACTCCATTATAAAAACCAAGATGGCATGCTTTTGAGTGAACAGAACTCAAGGTAACAACACCTAATAAATAAATAGTGTGTGATGTTAGGACAGCAGCGTTGTTACCGCCACAGTACTTTTGTCTGATGGGGGCAACAAAGCTGTTACAGAAAAGTTTATTTATTTGGAGATTGGGTGTCCCTTCTCTGAGGTCCGTGACAACTGTGTGCAGATAGTTTAGATGGTTTAGCTGGAGATGATATCCCGGACCTGCTCCCCAAAGGCAGCGAGGGTGAGTCCCCCACACGGTCCCCGGCAGCAGGTGTAGCAGACATGGCGGTGCAGAAGGACTTCCTGTGTTATCCCCCCTAGACCCCCTAGAACACCTGGGCAAGTGTCGGCCCCGTAGACCCAAGACCCGTGCTCCCACCAAACCTGTGGACTCCCACACTCAGGACCTGGAGGAGGGGCTTGACCACTTCTTCAAGAGACCCTGCGAGTCCCCGGACCCCATCGATGAGTCCACCAGGTGTGTTATCTCACTCTTCATTTCCACACCAACAAGATATCACCTTTCAAAAATAAATTTAAACATTTTTTTTGGTGCTTATAAAATAATTTTATACTGCCATTAATGCAATGATAAAAAAAAAGTGGAAGGGCCCGGCAATTTTCTACTGCCCTTCCTGCAATGACAACAACAATAGCCTTTATTGGGCACACGTGCCATACAGGATTCTCCCGGTAGGACAAAATAAATAAATAATAAATTAGCATCATAGTTATATACAAATATTGGGTATTGACCTCGACCAATTATCGAGTTGGATCCGGTGTCAGTGCTAAACATTTTGATTGAGCTGATTTCCAGTATTTATAAAAAGCGAATGCAAAGGGTCTGGATTTTACGACTTTTGCCATTAAAACATAAGGCGAATTGCTATTATAGCCGGTCTCTTGACGAAGAATTTCTCTTTCTTCTTCCATTGCCGTACAGTAGACCATGTAGTGTGGAAAATCGAGACTAAATTCACCGTTGCAAAAGGTGCATTTTATAGTGAAACATAATTAATTCTCTGTACTACAAAAAGGCTTCTTACTTGTGCAATGATTCTCTTTAAGGTTAACTTACTGCAATGATAAAATAATGGAAGGGCCATCAGTGGTGAACCCTCCCAGGGGTTTTGTCAGTTTAATCTACCGCTGTAATATTGTCTGTTTTCCTTTTATACTGAAGCTGACCTCTTGGAAATGGTATTTTAAATGAACTATGGACATAAACTTTGAGGACAGTGTAGAAATACATATTATTATAAATATATAATACTAGCTGAATGACCCGGGCAACGCCCGGGGTTTACCCGATTAAATGCTTTTATTAAAATACTATTCGTTACAATTATAAATTGGCACTGTGGATGTCATTCTTGTATAATATATAAATGAGTTTTAAAAATTGTAAAAAAAAAATGCATCGGCCGGGAATCGAACTCAGCCACTATAATATATAAATGAGTTTTAAAAATTGTAAAAAAAAAAAAATGCATCGGCCAGGAATCGAACCCGGAGCGCCCGCGTGGCAGGCGAGCATTCTACCACTGAACCAAAAGCAAACGGTGACAGAAGTGTCTCGCGCATTGGCGGCACCAAATGATGGGGGGGGGCAAAGGTGGCGTGATCGTAGCCGACCAATAGGAGGGCGCCATTCCAAAAATAAAGCAAACCGTGACAGAGGCCACGCATGACGCTCGTAACTGTATATAGAATGTTTTGAGCATTGTTCTTCCACATTAACGGGACAACTGCTGGGAGGGTTCACCACTGATGAGCCAGGCCCTCCCATTATTCTATCATTGCAGTAAGGGCAGTAGAAAATTGTTTTAAAAGAATCATATGCATCAAAATAGTTTGATTTCCTATAACAGATGGTGCACTAATAATGTATTTTTTAAACCAAAATGTTTTATAGAACATGGGGATTTTATAAAACATGGAATCTTTGGTCACTGACCACTTCTGAAGGATCTGGAACTGTTGAATGGCCTTGAGGGAGTGTGGCACCATATTTCCTACACAATATCCTCTTAAATCAACACTCAGCCATTTTAACATCCCAGTCAACTCCTCCAACTGTTTTAAAATTACAAATATTTTCTCACAATGAGTTTCTTTTTATTAAAAAACGCTAGCTTTCAAGTGATAATCGCTCTTTAACGGGCTTAATAAAATATCAACTTTATCTTCCAACTGTAATGGGGATTGTCTTGTAGTAAAGTTTTTTTTTTTTTGCTTATCCCTAGTACACGTGGTACAGGCCATGATAATCATGGTGGGTAGTTAGCGACTGCTTTTACTGTAAGCGTACCACATGTCTACACATGTGAAAAGCAGTTCGAATTTGCACTTACAAATGTGCCAGAACCCCGTTTGGTTACTTGCAATCGTTGGTGGAGTTGGACTTTTGCAAGAATCGGGGGCCATTGGAGCTGGGTATTGTAGTAAAGTTTAATTCAAGACAAGTTTATGTACACCTGGTCAACAGCAAAATGAGGTTTTTAAAATTAGGTTTAAAGAGAAATGTTTACAACAGACGGAGCCTTCTCCATCTGGATCTTATCAGAAGCTACAAGCCGTCTTGAGTTTAGACAGGCCCCTGCCAATTCTGGATTTCTTATCCTCAACATGCTCGTTTAGGAATTTAGAGAGAATAATCCTGCTTTCAAGTGATTGTTGACATTTTAAAATTCAAACTATGTTTATTTATTGCTCCATATTTGGCCAAATCACTCATGGGGTTGTTGTTTCTTATCCCCTTGTGGAAAGATTACACGAATTCCATGTGTCCATCCATACTCCTCGATTACTCACTCCTGGTATAGAACACTTGTGAATGCTACCATTGTTGGATTCCTCCTTATACAAAAAACAAACCTAAGACATCGCAACTCTTTTTATTGACTTGATTAATGGAAGCTTCAGGCAAGTCCTTCTTCAGCTGACTTGGCTTGTGTCCAAAAGCTTGTTGTTGTTGTTTTTTCTTATCCCCTTGTGTAAAGATTACACAAATTCCATGAGTTCATGCTCTTCGAGCTGTGCCCAAGTAAAAGAAAGCCCAAAAGCTTTCTTAACCAAGTCAATAAGAGTTGCGTTGTTTTAGGATTTTTGTAATTTGTTGAAATCCGCAATCTTGCGATAACTTCAGTTTGTGACTCCCGTCGAAGAGCTGATAATCTGAAAGCTTGGGAAATAATGTTTTGGATGTTTTGTTGGTTGAATTGTAAGTCAGAGGAATAATGTTTACACTATTATTTTGGCATGCTTTTATTTTCTGTTTTTTTTTTATTTATTTTTAAAATGTTGTGTGTGGTTCTATTTTGTAGTTTTAGAAATTCAGTCAAACTCTCAGACAAAGATCAAACCAAACGAGGGTAAGCCACTCATTTTGCCTTATTTTTTTATGTCTCTTTCTCTTTTTTTTTCTTTTTATCAAATTAAAAAATGCTAATTGCATGTTTCAACTCGGGGATGTGGCTGCTATGGTACCTACTTATGTGCATAGAGCTAGCTAGATATGCAAATTGGCAGTGCTTATCTTCTTACAATTTATTCCTTTCTACATGGTGTCTCCCAACTCCAGGCAAGAGTAATTTGGATGCCAAACTCAGGTTTATAGTTTAAAATTGTAAATTTTTTTATTGATTCATAAAGTATATACTTCCTAAAAATATGGCATTTCATAAGAGTCAGCATTCAACTGCACATCTCTTGGATTGAAAAATAAACGGCATTTATTGACTAATATTCCGACAATCAGAATGTTTGTATTTTACAAAAAGTTCTGAAATGTCAAGTTCTATATAAACATATTTACATATATCTGCAGCAAGATTTGACATAAAGACCAATGTGTTTGTATGGAACTGTTTTGTTGCCATTTCACAAGCTTTTGATAAAAGACAAATGTTCTGATCATCGAAATATCATGCGATAAAAACTTGATTTATTTTTCTACCCAAGATGAGCCATTTTGTATTATAAATTATACACTGTAT